GAAGAAGTGTATTCACGAGTCGGCTGTTTGCGGCTCTTGCTGACTGATTGGATTATTTTCGTTTCATTTGGCTTTAAATTTAATGTGCCAGATTTGAAAAACCTGTAGCTGAAGCTGGAGTTAGAGTTGGAGTTCGAGACGGCGCAGATCGCCTGAGGAAATGGCTGAGGAATTGCAATCAAAGCGCTCTCTTTTTCATAGCTTCTCTGACTGCTACTCTCTTTCTCTCTCACTCTTGCTCGTTTGCTGCTGCTGCTATTGATTTTCACTAAGTTAGATCGCCTCTACCATCTACGTTTGTGTGCATGCAAAAGACTTGCCCCGTTTTATGGCTCACATCTCGTTGCTGTTGCTGTTGTTGCTTTGGCATTGACGTATTGTTGGCGCAGGGGGCGTCACATTCTGATATTTGTCGCTGTTTATTGCTAAACAATTTCGGCAATCGATTCGACTGTTGAGTCGAGTCTCGCACACAGCATTTGCATTGCAGCGCTGAACTTTAATGTCTGTGACACAGAAGTTTGATCGGAGAGCTGTTGCCGGATCGGCACAGTTGTCAATCAAAAAGTCAAATTCCAACTGCTGGCAATTTGTCTGCACAATTGAGACGAAAAGCGAATGTGACATGGGCCAAAGAATGCGACCAGTGGCCGCAGTCAGGTATAACAATTCGCATATTGCGCATACGCCGCGTGTGCGCCTTCAACATTTAATAAGCCGGCGCGTTACGAGTACGAGGCACGCGAATCGAAACGCCAATCGCCTATCGACAATCGACTTAGCCCAGGAATGCAGACAGACGGCCAGTTAGACAGACAGACGGACGGACAACAAGCAAGACAGATAAACATGTGACAATTCACAATTGCAATTACAACCATAATATACTGCTCGAATGGGTTACGACTTGAAATTAACCCAAGGCAATTAGACGAACAGTCCATAAAACGAAAGGAGGGAGCAAGAAAAAACTTGAAATGCTGCTGGCCAAAGAGAATGTGTAGCATGTGCCAGATATATATAAGGCTGGGAGATAGATCATATGATGATAGTAAGCTAGATCGATCATATGATGATAGTACCTAAAGATTAAAATTATGATTATTTTATTAGGGAAGAGAAGAGATCAACATATAGGAAGAGACACATAGAGTAATACATCAAATTATAGAGCTTTTTTGTATTTTTGTCTGAGCTTAAGTTCAATTTTTCGTCCCTCTTATATACATACATGAGCGTCGCATAGTTGGGTCTCATTTATATGCAAGTTTCTGATTTATTTATTCGGTGTTCCAAATGGAGCTATCATTGATCTAACAGTTGTATGTATTATGCTGATGGGTTAAGCTTCCATAACGCCGCTACTTGAAGGCCGCAAGCAGCTTTACCTCCACATGCACAAATAAATTAAGTCTTTAATCAAATTCCGTTTGTTTTATTAGATCTGCCTCGGCTGGTCGGGGCTCGTAGGATTGTTCCGACTGTCAAGTCCTTGGCATCGCCCGTTACTGCTGGCCAGCCAAATCTGAATGGGTTAATCGCATTGTGCTTGACAATTACGAAGCCAAGCAAATGCTTAACAATAAGCGAATAATTTTTCACATGACATGCAAATTTAAGATCGGCAAGGCAATTGGGCAGCCGGTTTACACATTTGTGCAACATGTTGCATGTTGCACGTGGCATTTGGCCATACGGCCGAACGCATTTTACCGATCAGCTTGGCAACGGCCACGCCAAGCGGTCAAACAGCCATGCAAACACATGCATGTACATATGTACATGCTAGATACAGTCACAATCACAACAGCAACAACAACAATCATATATATTTTATATACATACATATATATCTCTATAAAGCTCTACGATTTCTATGCTAATCGAATAGCAAACGCAGGCAACTGAATAATGAGTTGGCCGTTTGACTTACATGTGTTAACAGTATTTACTGTTGGCATGCCCTGTAATTGCAACCATTCTAGGGTATCGGAGACTGTGCCAACTATTCAAAGTTCGCAATTATTGAAAGTTTTGCATAAGTTAATCAATGTAAAGTTGACCTGCTTTGTTAATAATACAATAGATAATGCTTAATGAAGCATTATATATTAAATATTTAATATTTACCATATTTACATACATTACACAAATTGTTCCCTGTAAAATCTAGTTTTAATTCGCATAAAGGCGCAATTATAATATTTAATACAGGGTACAATTAGAGCTGCGCACTCGCTCAGCCTAAGATAAGCTTGTTTTAGTCGGGCCTAACGGGTCAACTACAGTGTGTTGTATTTAAATGCCAACTGTTTCCAGTTTGAACCCTATATAAACTATTGTTTAGATCGTATTCATGACATAAGTAAAGCTCTTTGAGTTGCGCATATTTAGGGCTCAGTTATCGCGACAAGTGAATCGTTTGCCACAAATTGTTGCAACAGCTACGTGTCACGATCCCAGCGCCCAGAAAAAAAAACGGACAGAGCGACAGATAGACGGGCAAATGAAACGTTTTGAAAAGCTGCCTCACATGTGAGCCAAAGGTGCAGAGTTATGGTTATGGCTATATGAGCTTATAAGTGCCAACAACTACAGCGAGACTCGACCAACAGATGCCCTGGAATTGGATGACTATAAATGAGTGACAGAGTCCCAGGCTGTTGAAGGCATTGTAAGAGACTTAGTATAGATAAATTCTTAACAATCTGATTGTTTATAAATTACAAGGTATTTTAGTTGCGAACGCGCTAGCTTTAATAGGCCTTTAAATGATAATAGCTCCGAGATACCCTGAAATATTAAATATGGAATATTCAGCAAACATATTTTATGCATATATAAAGTGGTATACTTTGCCTGCTGTTGCATTCCAGGGTATACCACTAACTGCAACACTTGCCACCTAACAACAATCGCTTGAAAATCGGCCACAAATGAGCTGCGCGAACGACTGTCGAAATTGTGTTTGGCTATAAAACTAACCACAAAGTAGGAGCCCAGCTAGTGAATTGGACAGACTCTGGTGGTGGCTGTCATAAGAGCCTTCAGTCATATGGAAGCTGGCTTGCCACAGGTTGCAGCCGAGCCCAGCAACATTTTGCGGCAATTGCAACTTTATTTTGCTCAAACACAAAATATTTGAACGTCGTCACAAATGTCAGCGTGGCAAAATTTAATAAACAGCAAGCAGACAAACAGACAGGCAGCATTTTTTGTTTTTGTTTCTTTGGCCATGCAACATGTTGCATAAAGCTTACAAAAAAATATATACACATATATGTATATATATAGAAAAAAGGCAGTCAAAATCTGACAAGGAAAATATGTTGCACGCGTCGCTGCTTCGATTTTTGTTAAATTTTTCACATTCCCAATTTGTGAGCTGCAACAGATAAAAATGGGGTGGTCAAGCCAGATTGAGGGGTGTGGCAAACACGCACACACACATATATGTATATTTATATGAGTATGTGTGTGTTTATAGTGCACACGAAAATTCCCACGATTCATTTATTATGCGTGCCTTGCAACGTATTATTTAATTGAATTTATTTGCCTGAATGAAAATGCAAAAAGATAAAGCCGAAATAAATCATTTATCAAAGTGCTTCACTCTTGCTGTTGTTTTCAGTTGTTGTCGTATTTATTGGCAATACAAATTGATTAATTATCGAACCTAATTGAGAACTTTCTTGCCTGCCCGCATGATCGATCACGTTTCTCATTCGGTTGCACGCTGCGTATGCGCAATGCGCAGTGCGCAAGGACAACGCATGCAGCGTAACTCGCTGCAGTAGCCGTCTGCTTGGGCTGGCATCATTAACCATGTCAGGGTCAGTCGCAACGGCTCTTCAACTCTTTTGCTCTCTCCCTTTCCCCGCTCGCTTTCCACCAACTCAGCTTAGCAAACACTCATTAATCATCTGCCCTCATTGATCGTCGCGACTGCAGCTCATTCAAGAGCTGCCCATGCGCCAAAAAGTGATTGTTTTTGCTTATTACATAACAGCGCCGGCTACCCACAAGAAAGTGAAGCAAAACAAAGTGAAATAAGTAAACAAATCAGTGAGAAACAAAATGTAGTTGGAAATACCCTAACCAAAATGGAAGAGCATGTGGCCTTAGTTGATTTTGTTGACAAAACACATTTAAGTGGAATTTTTTCATAACTGAATTTGTTTATACAAGAAAATGCTCTGAAATTGAAATTGTCGATAGCGCAAACTTTATCATTTATAAAAGAATGAATTATAAATATGTACAGCGATATGTAGCGAAAACAAATTCTGTTTGAAGCTCAGTTCAGGTCATTGTATTGTCATATGTATTGTACACATTGGGGTATATTTCCAGCAGTAGGGTATATATTTCTTATATTTTGTCTTACAGATTGTATGAAGCTCTAAACAGTTTACTTATATCTATTTATTTATTTATTTTTTTGTTTGCAGATAAGTCTTGTTTATCAACATCAAAAGTTGTTTGGTATTACTCGCTATCGTAAGCTCTGCCTATTGTACTTCAACCTTAGCTACTCTTATACATCAGCAGCCCACTTCAGATTTGTTCTTGAGAAAGGCAACTTTAAAGCACTTTTAACATTCTTCTTCAAATTTTGCCAAGGTACTTCAACTAATATTAGTTGCAACCCCAATACCATTTGGTATTAGCCCAAATCAGCCTCATCTACCATAAATGCCACTTCACATACTCTTTTATATTTGGTCCCTCTTGCAAATTGTATGACATAATCAAGCAAACCCTAACTCAAATCAAAGCAAAGCCCACTTCCAAATGTGAACCAAAATCGTAACAATTCGTGCAAATGGAAGCAGCTCAATGGACTCTCTAGTTACGAGATGCGAATGATGTTACGAGTGCGTCTCTATAGATGGGACAAGAGCATCTCTCTCCGAGGGCGATGCTTTCGCTTTGCCTTTCCACCTGCCGTTGCCGTTGCCGTTACCGTTGCCTTTGCTATTGCCTGCTGGCCACTTGAGCAAACACCAAGAGCAATCTGTTGGTTGTTGTTGCCGGCGTTTGCTTCCGGCGGCAGCAGCAACAGCCGCTCGTAAACGAGGATGGAGGCGTTTAAGTTGCACATAGCCAAGGCCAGAGGAGCACCTCTATAAAAGCTGTCGATTCACATGGCAATGGCATCAGTTCAGCTCTTCAGTTCATATCAACCAGATCAACGATCACTATGAGAGTCTTCCTTTGCTTGCTGGCGATTGGCGCCGTAGTCAACGCGGGCTACATTGGCGGTGGTGCTGGCGGTGGCGGTGGAGGTGGTGGCGGACACGGACATGGACATGGTGACTCTGGCGGCGCACCCGAAGTCAAAGTCATCAAAATAATACACGAATCGTCGGGAGGCGCAGGCGCTGGTGCTGGCGGTTGGGCAGCAGGAGGCGGTGGTGGTGGCGGTGGTGGCTGGTCGGCAGGCGGCGGCGGTGGTGGTGGCTGGTCAGCAGGCGGCGGCGGCGGCTATGGAGGTGGCTCCAGCGGCGGCTACGGCGGCGGCTCCCAAGGTGGACAGGAGGTTAAGATTATTAAAATCATTACGCAGCCCTCAGACGGTGGCTATGGAGGTGGCTCCAGTGGTGGCTGGTCTGCAGGTGGTGGCTCCAGTGGTGGCTGGTCTGCTGGCGCTGGAGGTGGTGGCTCTTCTGGCTGGTCGTCCGGAGGCAGCGACACCAACACAGCTGTAAAAATCATCAAAATCATCTCGGAAAGCAGCTCAAGTGGTGGTGATACCGCAGGCTGGTCCGCTGGTGGCTCAGCAGGAGGCGGTGGTGGCTGGTCTTCGGCTGGTGCGGCAGGCGGTGGCTGGTCCTCGGCTGGCTCATCAGGCGGTGCCGGTGGCTGGTCGTCGGGTGGCCCTGCAGCTGGCGGCTGGTCCTCGCCCGGTCCTGCCAGCGATGGCTGGTCCTCCCAGGGCGGCGGCAGTGCCAGCGCCGGTTGGTCCTCGCAAGGCGGCGGCAGCTGGTAAAACTTTGCTTAACTTGTGATAAGCTCAAATCTCATGCAATTTCATTTCTCATGCGCCTCAATTCATTAAGTCTGTCTTATTGCTCGCCCTATTTGTTGAATAAAAAACTCTTTATAATTTCCACAATCAATATTTAACTGAAGAGACGCGAAAAATAGTCTCAAACTTTTCCATTTAAGGCATCGAAAAAGAGAAAAGAAGAACTGCATTTGAAAGTCGCAGACAAAGGGGAAGGCAAGCAAACTTTGTCTACCCCTGTCTCTCTCTCTCTCTCTCTCTCTCTATTTCTCTCATTCTACCATATCTATAGCTTAGCTCAAAAAGAGAGAAAAAAGAACACACACACTTAAGCGTAAAGTAATAAAATTCAAGCAACCAAAAAAATGTCGAAGAAAAAAGCAGAAAAAAGTGAACGAAATGAAAAGAAGAAAAACCAAAATAATAAAAAGGAAAATATGTAAAATATCACTTTGAGGCGGCGCCAAGGATACCAAGGATACGATGGATACGAAGGAGCCTCACACTTAGCCAGCATAAAGGCCAAAAGTGCAAGAAAAAGCTTTTGCCCGCGCAGAGGGCATCGAGGGGTTGTCTGCACAGTGAGCGAGCCGGCTCAGGGGGAGGTTGCTGGGGGCCACGACTTTTTTCTTCTTGTATAAAAATATTTTCCATATAAATCTAACAAAGAACGTGTTCGGGTTACTTGATTAGGCGCCCAAAAGTGTGCAAATTGTGGGAGGCGGGGCGGCAGAGCGACGACGACAATGCCAACAAAAGTTGCAGGAGCCACGGCAAAAAGAGAGACAGAGAACGACTAAGACATACCGTGTATGGGTTGCTCAACACGGGAAAGGGAAGTATAGACAGTTCAAAAAGAAATATGATTAGAGAGAAGAAAAATCAGAAAAGTTCCTATAAGCGAACCCTTGCCCGTTACATACTCACTCATACAACGGACATACCCATAATAATCAGAGCGAAATAGGATTGGAGGAAGTGTGTATAGCTTCGACGACTTCTCGGTTTCCTTAACGCTTTCAAAATAAATACTTACATAGAAATAAAAGGGAGCTATAAAAAAGGAAGGCGCAACAAATCCAATTTGTTGTTGTCGCACCCACCCACCCTGCCGCCCACTCTTTGTTGTGTGAGTGGGTGTGTTGGGCGCAAAGTGGGCGCCAGCTTGGTTTCTATATTGATTTATTACTCAATAGCCCGAAAGGAAGTGCGCTGTATATTATTTTGGGAACGATTGCGCAAAGAATTTGATTTGCTCGACGAGAAAATTTGAGAACAACAAAAAAAGCAATCATTAAAGATCGATACATGCCGTTAGATCTCATCCACAAATCCAACTTGTTGCGCTGAATAAACAAACAGGCGCACACAAGCACACACATAATTTACTTAATATTTGCTGCTATATATACCATATATATCTATATCTGTATATACATATATTTATATATCTCTGAAATTCGAAAATGTGAAATTATTTTGTTGAGTTTATGGAAAATTTTCCCAACACAAAATGTTCGCAGTTTGAATTGTTTCATTTGTGCGTTGCTGTTTACCAAATTTGTTATTATTTTAATTTTAATTTTGTTGATTGATGTTGTTGTTGTTGTTATTGGTTTTGTTGCTTTTGTTGTTGCACGTGCAACGCCAAATTGCGTGTTTGCCAAACAACAATAACAACAAGAGCTAAATTTAAGTTGTCCATGGACTCCTTTCATATTGACACACACTGTCTCCCTCTCTCCCACTCTCCCACTCTCTCTCTGTCTCTTGCTATCTTTTCTCCGCGTGTGTGCTTAGCTATGTTAACAATGGGCGCGTGTGCAGCGGCAGCATCGAAAGCACACTCAATGAGGCAAATGCAAACAGTTTACGCGACCCTCGCTGAAAAGTCTTTTTAACCGTAGTTAAGTTAGCCAACCCCAAAGCGAACAACTTGGGGACAATTGAAAACACTTATCTTTATATAATTTCAATATATTAATGTATGTTCAGACAGAGAGTTGACAGAGAGATGAAAGAATTAGTTTCGAGTGGTTGCAAAGCCAGACCAAATGATTATATCTATAAACAAATAATAATCAATCGCTTAATCAGGCTGAATAAACAGTTGAATATATACATATATTGAAAATATATACACATATTATATGTATATAGTTAGCAGCTGATTAGTATGCGAACTAAGTGAATATTTAATAGTCTGTTTGAACTACTGATATAATAATTGACATAATGATTGACTGGTTGGAGACTGTGTAAAATCAAACCTTAGCCTTGATTTATAAGCAAATCAACTTTGTTTTTGTCTTTGTCTGTCTCTGATTATCCCAACAATTAAAATTCTGTAAAATCATATTTATTGATCAATGATATTATAATCTAAAAATCACTTTAAAATCTATTTCAACTTGGCATCTTCACCGAATTGAACTCGAGTTTGTTTAGCTGCCCCAGCACTAAAATCTCCTCTATGGCTTTTTTGGCCAGCAGCTTGTTCTTCTCGTCCAGCTTGCGATAGGATGTGGCCCAGCCCTCCGCATAGATGGCAGCCTCGTCCCTTGAGCAGTGGCTGACGCTGGACATACGCAGCAAAGGTTCCTCAGGCGATGTCTGTTCTAATTGCGCTGGTTCGACAGGTGATCCACTGGACGTCGGTAGCACGTGATCGAACTAAGCAAAGGAATTAATCTTTATATATTTATCACCTTGCCTGCAATATACTCACAACTTTAGTTTCCGACTCGGACCAGTGATCCATCTCCTCATCGTCCTTAAATTCATTCATCGACTCATCCGGCTTATCAGGTGCTTTGCGGACTTCGTCACACAAGAAGGTCAATTCATTGAAGTACCACAAATGTGGCACATACACCTTGTTTAGTTCCTCGTTGTACTCCACCTTACGCAACTCGCGTCTGAAACAAGTTCGGATCCCATTGATCTTACGCCGCATGCTGTCCATATTGGCTTTCCCATCGATTTTCTTGTAGCACTGCAACAACTTCTCATAGGCTGCCTTCCTCTGCCTCAGATTCTTGTACTGCTCGTCCGATACTCGCCATAGCGCAGGCAGTTGCCGATATGTATCGAAGAAATCTTGCCAGCGATCCGATTGCGGTATGGCAGACATTGCAATCACACAGCCAGTAGCGTACTAAGCCTAGCAGAGAGAGCGCACCAGAGAGGGCGAGAGAGAGAGAGGCAGGGCAGAATCAAACAAGTTCATGTTTGACGCTCTCAGCACACAGAGACGCTTCACACACGCATGCAACTTAATGCCAGGCCTGTTTTGCTGTTTGATGCGCAACATGATGGACTGCAAGCCTATGGCCGTTGTCAAACATGCTGCAAACGTTTGCTGCTGCTGCTTAAAGAGTGTGTACGACCGTTTGACAACTCTTCTCTGTACAGTTGCTCGTCTTAAATTTGCTGTTGCTGTTGTTGTTGTTGTTGCTGCTGTTGTTATTGGCGTCACATCGTCGTTCGTTGTCGAACGTATAGCCATTCCGTCTGGTCGACGACACTTCCAGCAGCTACAGCAGCAGCAGCAGACGTGCGTCGCTGTCGACGCCATTAACGTCGCGACGTTCGCCTCATCGATTTGGCGGCGTCCTCATCTTCTTCTTCTTCAACTCTGCATGTTTGTCGCCAAGTACTCAAGCACACACTCACACTCACACTCACACGCACACGTACACACAAACACAAGCAAGGCAAAAGAAAAAGTTAACAAACTATGCACGAGACCAAAATGAGCGCAAAAGCACAAACAAAATATTATTACTAATTCATTTTGTTATTTTGTTTCATTGCACCCTTTGCTTATATCGCGCTGTCGCCCACTAGCGGCGCGTCGTCGCGATGTCGCCTTTTCTTGCTGCACCCTCCCTCTCCCTTTCCCTCTCCCTTTTCCTTCTCTATCTTACGAAATTCCGATTGCACTTTTGCACTTCATTGCATTAGCCCACACGCCGTGCTAGCGCGCTCTCCTCTTTGTCATTCGTTTACTGTGAGCTTTTTGTGCTGTTGTTGTTGTTGCTGCATTTGCTTTGTTTTCGTTTATCGTTAAAATGCTTTCAGGTGGCCGCTTTGCGATTCTTGCGCTTTTGCCGCTGCGGCGAATGTCTGGGAGCCCAAGTCATAAGTAATTTATCATCATACAATATTGAAGTGCGTCGACGTCGACGCTGACGTTGACAGCCACTGCGACTGCGACAGCGGCATCTGTCAATGCCAATCATTTGTAAATGATATGACTGACCGATTCTTGGGACTTTCCTTTCCAGCTATTGTTGTTGCTGTTGTCAGGTGGTGCCAACTGCCAGACACCGAGTTGAATCCACCACAAAGGAAATCGATTGCTTGAGGAAATGTCTGGTAAACAAATTAAGAGACCAAAGGGCATTATTTATATTGTGCTCTGTGGGGAGGGACTTTAAAACGATATTTGATGATTTTTTAAGCACTATTTTGATAGCTCCTTTAATTACACTACTCGAAATTGTTGCAGGATTTACAAATCACACTCACACACACAGATGCACACACACGCACTCAATCAGAGGCGTACATACACTCAATTACAGTGCAAACTGCCCAACAACAATGGCTCGACAGTAAAATGCGATTTCCGACAAAAAGAACTTACGTTCACACACACACACACACACACACACGAACACATGAGCACGCACACATATTTATAAAAGTGTGTTTTTATTTTTGTTTTTGGGTCTGTGCCTTGTGCTTTGTTTTGTATGTGGGTCATGTCCTTATGAAATATTCAAATGTCCTGAATTAAGCATTTCTGCCATTTCCACTCTTTTTTTATTGTTTGTCCAATTTTCCAGGCTAGCCTCAACTCCCTCTGCTCCTGCTTCTACTCTCTCTCTCTCTCTCTCGCTCTCTCGGTCTCGCTCTGCAGCTCCATTGTAAAACAAATTGTAAATGTGCCTGATTATGTGTGCGTGTGTGTGTTTGCATTTGTGTGTGCGTTTCAATTTATTTATTGAAAATTTGACCAAACATGCTTGGCGAACAGAGCGAGCGCAGGCAGCGAGTGAGTGAGTGGGAGGGATAGAGAGAGATAGAGAGAGACAATAAAACAGAAACGCATAAAAGCAAATAAATTGGTTACATTTGGTTAACACTCACATACACAAACAGACAGACACGCACACGCACACACACACACACACGAACGTTTGTGTAAATCCGCAACGGAAGTTTGCTTTTAAATCGATTTTGATTGATTTTTCTCACAGGCAAGCAAAAATGCCTTTTGGACAAAAATCAAAATACATGCCCGCATGCTCTATAGGTGTGTATATGTTCTCTCCATATGTGTGTAAATGTGTGGGCGTGTGAGTGTGTGTGAGTATAAATGAAATCAAATTGTAAATAATCGAGTCGGAATCGTCGCCTGTTTGTATTGCGCCAGCCCTTTGGCGCTTTTCACTTGAAATCCGTTTGGCAAAAAAATACAAAGAGAGAGAGAGAGAGAGAGAGAGAGAGAGAGAGAGAGAGGGAAATCAAGAATTTAACAACAGATCGAAAACACGAAATACAAATATTTTTACTAAAATTATATTCAATATGGTTGTTGTTGTTTAACTTGGTCGCTCGCAGCTCGTTATTTATTTATATTTATTGAATGTGTGTGCAACGCTTTATTTCAATATCGTAAAAAAATGTGGAAAAAGGAAAACAGAAAGAAAAAGAAAAATATAAACTAAAAGCCAGCACTTACATTTTTAATACAAAATCAATAAATATAAAAATAAATAAATATATATACATACATGTATGTGTGTGTGTGTATGTGAGCCCATTTATTAAAATATGTTGTTCCATCCGAGTGCGTGTGTGTGTGTGTGTGTGTGTGTAAGACACTTTTTTATGGCTGCGGGCTCATAAAAAGCGCATAAAGTGGCTTTAACATGGCATAAAAAATGCAGCCAAGAGTGCCAATAGTTAAGCCAGTGTCGAAGAGAGGGGGAGAAAGTAGGAGTGGCCGCCAGAGATATTGGGCCAAAGGTCAGTGAATAAAGGAATATCTCCAACCTCTACGAAACTCTCTCTCCCCCTCCCCCTCCAATTCAGTCTTCTCTGTGAGCAGTTTGGGTGGTCAGATTGGAACAAAATATTAAGCGATAAGAAAAAAAAGCACATGTGGCAAAAGACGTGTCAGTAGAAGGTGTGAAGAAGAGAGATACCTAATAAATGAGAGTATGGATGTAGGTATACATTATATGGGCTTTTCAGTTATTCACCCATTCATATTTTCATACAGTCATGCCCAAAAACATTCTTCGCCTCATTAGAGGTGAAAATATCTATTGCTTAAGTATACATATAAATATTTATTCCCTATTAAATTTTATGAAATTATTTTCATGACAACTAATAATAAAATTAAGTAGCTTTGATATTAAAACGCTTATAATTTACCAATCATGAGTAGAACATGGGAATGCGAAGCTTATGAGCTTTCCTTATCTATATAGGAAAATCAGTCAAGCATATCTATAGCGACGTACAGTAAGTCGTAATTAAAATATCGCACCCATGCTAAAAAAGATTGCCAGACAAAATACCCCATCTGCTTCTCCCGCGCACAAATAATCTTTAAGCTCGCTTTTTTGTTTTTAATAAAAAGGTCTTTACAAATATGTTAAGCTGCTCAGGCAACTTCCATCTAGACCTTTTCGACACCCCTGTACCCAGCTTCTCGTCACGCATCTTCCCTCAGCCCTGCCCTTTGGCTTCATAGCTCAATTCCAACTCGACTCGTCCACGTCTACAAATCAGAAAAGCGTATCGCGCACGTGTCTGCAATATGCATTAGCACCAAGTAATGCCCACTTCAGCCTTTTCCCGCTAGATTCAGCTTGGTCTTTGAGTCATTGTGCAGGCGAATGTGAAAACATATTTCTTAACCCTGCCTGAAGGCCTTTAAACAATATATGTATGTTATACTAGGCACACTTCATTAAAATAAAATAAGAAACAAACATTTGTTTATAGTCATTTATTTGTTAGGCATATTTGCACATTTCTATTTCTGTTTTCCCCAAGGACACGGAGGTTCAATGCACGAGATGATGAATGCGATCGCTAGCCACGGGAGTAGACTGATTTGCTTAAACTGCATTTTGCTTGATTCGTTGTTTTAACAATGACATTTCTCTCACTGTCTGAGCCTCTTTTATATCAAGCAAGGCGTTAAAAATCGTATTAAGAATAACCAAGCGATTTTAGCCGTTTTAGACCTTTGCCAATCGAATTCTTCTCAGTTAGGTAACTTAAAAAAGCGTAAAAATATTCTCTTCTCTATTTTATGTTATGAAACATGTAGTTTGCATATCTGCTATATAATATAAATATAATTAAGTTGCTTCGATATAAGCACCCTTCTGTAATATATATCTGAATTAGAATCACAAAAAAGAATAATACTCATTTTAGCTGAAACCTATTTGAGATAATCTTTATTTCATATCTACTATAGATTTTTTGAATTCTCCCTAACTCAGCTTCAATCCCTCGCTTTTATCAATTGTACTTGATTTTTGTGAGACTACAACCACCGAGAAAGGACTATATATATTTAGTATCTTCTGGCCAATTCTTGAGGGTCTGAAAATCGATTTGGAAATCTTTTGACGAGTTGTACACAATGTTTATTTTCCGGAACATCTAGCATTAGAAAATACAAAGCCTAACCTAATATAGTATAAACAAACATGTTTGATGCATTCACTTGCAGTCATTCACAATCTCCCCAATGGCAAATGGCAAAGTTTTGGTCTTGATATAATCCAAATGGCGGACAGCGTCAGAGAATTCGTCTATGGATAGTGGGGGCACTGGTTCGATATCCTTATAGATCTTCGATTCGATTAGTATCAATTGAAAGTTGATCAAGTCCACAGCTGATCGCATCTCGCCCACATCCACATTCATTCCACTGGCATTATTGGCGCGCTTATTCGAAGTCCCGACTTTAGAGTCTTGCGCCTTGAGCATCTTCCGCTTCCGCAGGTTGAAGAGCTTCCTCAAGAGATACAATATTGGCAAGATTATAAATACCAGGCCACACAGTTTGGTTTGACTGATCCATTCCAGCATTTTGGCTTACGTTTACAAAATATACGAGTACATATGTCTGAGTAAAAACTACTAAAATTACATCTATCTAAGCACTACTAACGCTAAAATTTTGTCAAAGAATACTAGATCGATGTTGTTTAGGAAAATAAAGCCTGCCGCTTTCGATTAAGCAAAGCGTATTCAATATGATATTCAATGGGATACACTTGTTCCACTCTGACACAATTCTGACTTTTCACATAAGCCGCCCCACGTCCCATGCTCCTCGCTTCATGGCTCCGTGGCTCCGTCCCCCTTGGCCCCTTGGCTACTCGGCTGCTCGGCTGCTTGGCTCCTGGTGTGCTGCCACTTGCCCCAGTCACTCGCCTGGCAGTCAACCCCTTATGCGACACGAAACCAAATCCCCGACCCATGTCCGGAACGCAAATAAACGATAAAAGCGCAGTCGTTGCGAATAACACTAACAATAAGTAGCGAGAGGCGAAAATGAAGGGGCCACGGCGTGGAGGTGGGCCGAGACGAGGCGAAAAACGAGGCGCA